TTATTAAATTCTAAGAACCTGCCCACAAATGCAGCCTCTGCTATCTTCCAGACGGAGCTTCGTCCACGGTTTATTAGACCGTTTAAGGTTGCGGCCAAGCGGGGCTTAGCGTATAAGCTAAATCTTTGAAAACGGATGCGCACCCTCCCGGTATTTTACGTGGGTATGCTCAAGCCGTATTGGGATCCGGCGCATGTGAGCGCGGAAGCGTTGACGCCAGAGCGAATCCCACGGGCCCCTCAGCCACCCAGAAACTGAACCAGCAACTGGTTCTGAGCACGGAGTGCAACAATCTCCAACTCCAATGGAGCCAAGCACCCCACCATTACCTGCAGCGACGCATTTACCTGCTCTACGGCTAGAAGTCGCTCCGACATAGCGTGGTAGTCCTCAAGGCAGCCGGCGCGCGACGCTCTCCAAATCATCAAGAACGTCCGCACAGCGATATGCTACATCAGCATGACGCTCAGCGGAGCTCCGATCACGAAGGATCTCATCCTCAAGGGCTTGAAAAGCATCGCAAGTCACCGGACGGAGGTTGACCCGGTCGTCACCGCCCGCCATCGATTTTTTTCGATGAAAACGGCGACGTCCACTATCACGTGAAACGTCTAGCGGGGCGATGTCGTCACCAGGGTCAAACCCAATATCTGGTGATGTGGCGAAGATATCCTGACTCTGAAAACTCGTGGGAGTTGTAGACGCCACTTCGGCAAGATTGCCCAGGCGCCGTGGACGCTTTCGAACAGAAAGTTCAGGACACCCCGCGCTTCCCGACAATAGCCAGGGAAGTACAAGGGCCACGAGCTGAGCTCAAGCGGTGGCCCTGAGCTCTTATGGTTACGTATACAGAGCTCGCGGGGGCCTTAGAGGTTGACCCATATGTCGCAGGGCGACAATTTGAAGGGAGTCGACGACGTGCTTTGAGTTTGCCGAACTAAAATCGGAGGTGGCGCTCCACACGCACGTTCACTTCCTTGTAGCTCAACTGTAACGCATACAGTAAGAAAATGGTGCGGTGCCGTTGCACCCATCGCTCAAAGAGCGTTTGGTCATCTGTAGCGCTTTCGCCCGGGGCGAGCATTACAGGTATTGTCCTCATTGGGGGTACACGAGAGCCACCTTGTTGAGCACGCAGACGAGTACGATAAGCTTCCAACGGGAATTCTTGTGGAACCAAGAAACGAGCTCGAAGAGCTTACCGTTCGGCAAGCACATCTTCCGTAATGGCCGGGGGTCCGATGATGTGGAGGCGTAACGATCGAGTTACCACGTCCTTCGCTTTCACAGCGGGACACGCCGGGCGGAAGCCATATTGCACACGAGGGTCAATGACCGATCGTGGATGGGCGCGCATCAGAGCCGCCTTATGGGCAGCTTCCAGCTGCCGCTTCTGTGCCTCATCGAAGTTATTAGTGAGGGCACCACATCCCTCAGGTGACGAGAAATCAGGAAACGGACATGGGGTCCGCAAAGCGCGGACAGGGCTCGTCGCACGCCGCTGGTGCGGCCCGCCTTCCTCGTCATTCCATGCGGAAAAGGGGTGTCAGACTCGTAGTCGACCGCCTCCACACACCCAACGAGGTCACTAGTCACAGTTAGCGTGCGCGGAGCGTGACGCTCGGGCTCATCGAGCCTAGGACACACATCCCTCGATGCCGCGGAGACACGGTTCGACATGGCACCATGTGCGGGAGATGAAGCTGGGCTCTGCCCGTGAGCGCTGTCGGAACCAGCGAGACTTGAAGACTTCGGCGTCATTGACACAGGGCTCATTGACCACGGATGTCGTCTCGCTCCAACGCAGTGTCTAACGGACACGCAAGCCTCGTTGAGGCAATAATCGATTGG